TCTCGTAAATGACAAATGTTTATTGTTTATCTTTCATTATGATGTGCTCAAAACAACGCTCCTTTCATCAGATATTTTAAATGCAGCAAAAACAACCAAAAACTTTGTATTCGACTCATCATAACAAATCTAGTAATAGGATAATATCATGTTTGAAGTCAGTTTTAATACTTTGAACTTCTGCTTAGTAAGTCACAGGTAGTTTTGGTATTATATAGGCAAACATGTGAAAACTACTGCAAGAAACTATCGACGAAGTTTTGCAGCGCAAAAGGGCAACCGGACATAACGTTTACATATTTATTTGTTATGGCAGTGCTTTACAAGCTTACGAAAACCTCAAAATTAGAGACTCATATGAAATTCGTTTATAGGGATTCTTTGATATGCTGATAGATATTATCGTTATTTTTCGCGCTACCATGTCTCACTGTTGATTCTTAATGAATTTATGTCAAGACCCGCAAGTGAATTTCTAAGTAGGGGTTACCTTTTTGCATTTGCTGAATTTTTGGTTTAAACCAGAAGTTGTACAAGAGTTAGGAGAAGCCTTTACACCAATAGGTCATGTTCATTTTCATCAGCCCAAAGTATAGAAGACACTCTAGCGCCTTACAGGTAAATGCAGATTGTGTTATGCATGTGAGCATTGCATCAAACGCACCAAATAGGTCGCCTATGGGCAGATTTTTATACATTGTGAGTTTCACCTTCTAACATGATTTTTCACTAAGCCAAGGTGCGCTACACTTGATTTTCGGACCGGCTTGTCAAGTAGTCCCTTAATTCAAGCCCGAGCGCAATTCAAGATCTTGAAGTTTGCTGTCAGGGATAGGGCTTTTAAACAATTCTGTGGTTTTCCCTATACCTAAGTGTCTCTACATGAGACGTCACTGCAATATTGTGCTTTTTTCATAGTGCAGGAACACCATCTAGGTAAATTTCGAACAAGCCGAAAAACAGGTTCGAAATGATGGGATGGCGTAGAAATTAGTTCACTCATTGCATACGGAATTATGTAACGGCCACAGTCGTTAAAACAAGTGCCTTTTTGGATTAATTCGTCGGAAATCGCACGTGCAAATCCACGTCTTTCAAAAAAGGTTTGAGCGATACTAGAGATAAACTCTTTACACTATTTAGCTCATGGACCTAAATTATCTACTGTCCTTGATTCGTGCTTGAACATACTTCTGCAAGACATAGA